CTGGCTCAGCAGCTGGGGAAGCCTGTCTAGTGGGGACATCCACTAGAAAAGTTGATAGCCAAATGATGCCCCCAACGTTTTTTCCTCCCGGAGAGACTTGGAGAGTATACCGCTTTCCTTAAATGGCAGCCTTCTGCCCCCACCCCAAAGGAAGGGTGGTTTCGGGGGCGGGGACATTTTGGGTTTAAAGAGTACCTTTAAGAACACCTCAGAGTTACCTACCTTCTCTGTCCCGATGGCAGGGGTGAGTACGCATTTGAGAAGGCTGCGGGGGGGGGGCGCCATAAGGGGGCTCTGTGTCCCAAAGTCCAGCAAAAAGTAGGGGAGGGTGGCTTGGGTGCAGTCAATGAGGTTAAAAAAAAAGTCTCTGTGTGCCCGAAGGATGAGGTCGCCTGGAGGACACAGGTTCAAAGAATCAAATACTTCCTAAACTCGAGGACTTGGTACGGTAGAGTGGCCTCCAATAGAGTAGTCCACAGATTTCCAGCCACCTCACGTTTCCAGGGTTTGCTAGTCCGAGGAGAACAGCAGTGCTTTGGAAACCGAGAACTACTGGGGTTGGGAGTTTGAACTGTCCATCTTCCGCTGTGGAAGTGAAGCAAGGAGACCCACTGACTGATACCACTGATTTGCACGTGGTTGAGTCGGGTCGGTGGCGCTTACCAAAACTGATATTAACTGGGCTACCTTTTAGATGTCTGTAACCCGACTCTCAATTTTCCCTCCCTTTAACCACAGACCAGTTCGACTCTGATAGCCTCATAGCATTCAGACTTTTAAGTTGTAAGTGAACGCAGTTCCGGCCAGGACTGCTCTTGGGCAATTTCCCTAAGACCTCAGCAAAGTGGGTTGTTTTGTTTACGTTTCCAGACCTCATTTTCAGTTACAATATCCTGGTGGCATTTAATCAAATCCTGTCAGTGTGAACCAAAGCCAAAGAGGCTGATACATCCTAGAAGTTGGGTTGTTAGAGCAGGACAGGTCATCCCCAAATTCGCTTTTCTTTTCTTTCTTTCTTTCTTTGCTACCATTTTTACCCTTTGATCTGGAGTACTTAAAAATCACTCAGAAATACACTTTGAAAAGAAGCTTTCCTGTACTCAATCAAGCCTAGCCTGTCCTTAATTTTTAACCAAACGGGCAGATGGAGTTTTACCTAAATGTCTTTCTTTGAATTATCAGCAGACACACTGAAACTGTTAGAAACTCTAAGATGCTCTTCTTTCTTTTGGGGGTGGCTACCCATACCTTTAGGTGGTCAGACAAGCACAGCCCTCTCAGGAGTCCTACCACGACAAGGCCAGAGAACACCCTGATGATGGTAAGAAGCTGGATTTCTCTTTCTCCCCGCTTTATCAGAGGACATGTGCAATTTGAGAATCTGCTTGTGGTGCTTGCATCTGAGTTCAGTAGGCTGGGACCAGATAATGCAAGACTGTGCCCACCTCTGTCCCATTTCAACATAATAGAAAGCCCAGAAAGAAAGCCCAGAAACTCAGTCTCTCTCTCATTGTGTATACCACATGGTTTAGAACCAGTCCCTGAATGAATCTGGGCCTTTGGGTTTCCACTGGCTTCCGGATTCTCAGAGAAGAAGGGTTGTTTCTGAGCAGTATTTTTCAGCAGTAATAATTTAGAATTCTTCATTTGCAAAATTGCTGTGTATAGTTTCTCAGTACAGAGGAGAAGGAAGGCAGTGTGTGGACAGATGATTGATCAGGGCTCAGTAAAACTGAGCCTAGCTTCTAAAATATCAACAAATATTAGAAGCTACAACTATCAGATGATAGACAATTCCCCCATTGCTGATTCTTGACAATACTTTAAAAAAACATTCACACACAAACCTTCCTTGCTCATTCTAAATTTAATCAGATCACCATAGGGTTCAGTTGTCATTCAGTTGGCATTTCTGGTCTCCTTCAATTACTTAACAATTGGCCTGTCTAGAATGGAATGTTTGTACATTCAGTGTGTCGACCTAGGGGCAGGGAGAGAGCTGTATATCAGCCTTCCTTCTTGGCAACAAGTAGTTATACAGATTAAAAGGCAAGGAACATTTCTTTGTCAGACTGACGTAAGTTTAGCCATGAAATTAGCTCTTCCAAAGGTTAATTCACTACAAATTTGGATTTTAGCCATACACTAGATCCAGTTTTCTCCTTTAGAATTTGGTAAAAATCCAGAAGTACAGGTGGAATTGTCGAGTTTGTCTAAAAGAAGGAGACTTCAAATGTAGAAATGTGTATGTGTTGTGGGGTAGAGGACCTCACACATTAACAGTTCAATTTTAAGTTTGTGTGTGTTCCCTTGTGTTTCTGTATTTCTCAGTCCAGTTTGTTAGCATTAGAACAAATTAAGTTGGATGAATAACATTTATTTTTGTAAAAACATCAGTCAGTAGTGTAAGTAAATTGAACCACATATTTTTTAAACATCTGGTTTGCTGTTAAGCCATTGGAGAGCATAAATATTGTCAATCTAAAGTAGAACATAATAACCCAGTTTTATATTTTATAATATTTTATGTAAACTCTGGCTTGTCTTAGAAGCAAGAGATTTTCTGATGATAATAGTTTGATATAAAAGGAAAGTCTGTGCATCTTTGTTTTTTTTTTTTTTTTATTCTCCAGGAAAGCATCCAGATGGAGGCCTGTACAACAAGGGGCCCTCCTATTCCAGTTATTCTGGCTACATAATGATGCCAAATATGAATAGTGACCCATACATGTCAAATGGATCTCTTTCTCCACCCATCCCGAGGACAGTGAGTAACATGCTGATGTTGAAAATTATTTTCAGACGTGCAAATTAATTTGTGTTTCAACAGAATGCCTATTTCTTCAAACACACTGGCAATGCCTTCATTTTATGTGACTGTTCATCACTTGGTAAGAGCTGTATAAGGAATGGCAGCCTGAGAACAGAGCTGTCTTTATGTCTCCCGTTTGGATTCTTAAATTTAGGCTAACGTGCTGAGGCAAATGAGTAGAGGGTCACGTATTATGAAACCAAATGGAGCCAAGTCAACAAGTCTATGGTTTTCATAAGTGCTGTGTTTCCATGCTGCTGATGGGAGGGAAGTGGATTGAATCTTTCAGTTAACTAAGGGCCAGGTAGCTTTCAAAGCCCTAATCTGCTTAGAGGCTCATTTGGACCTAGATATTCCAGACTGTTATTTTGGCTTCTGAAAATTACTTGTTTTATTATATTAGCTATTGTTTATAAGGAAGGCAGATGAGCCATTTTCACTTCATTGTCAGTTGGGAAAATCTCATCTGAAGACCATGTAGTGAAAGTTGTTGCTATTTTTAATCAGTTAAGACTTGAAGTTGTAAAAAAAAAAAAAAAATGTAGTGTCATACAAGTACACTATGCTGGTGTGTTCAATATTACAAAGGATTTCACGTTTGTTGTTTGGTGCTATTTCCCTTGCGTGTGGGGGCTGTGGGGGGTGGAGACTGTGCCTATGTCTCCAGAAAACATCTCAATGGTAGCTTCTAGAGGACGTGAACACGATTGTACTGGTGAATATACTGAACATACTGGAGCTTCTTAGGAAGCTGCAGAGGGCGGTCATCTCAACCTGTTCCCAGCCCCATTCCTTCACCACTCAAGTCCAGTGGTAAAGTCTCAGTAACTTCTTGGGGGCAAATCTACAGTCTCAGTGGGACTCAAAGCATCTCCAAACTGAGAAGTCAGCAACACTTGGGGGAAGGGGTGTCACTGATGCCTTAGTGACAGAATCTGAGAGCAGGGGGTTCACTGAAGAAGCAGAGAGGAAGTGGCTGGTAACCAACCTGAGTGCTTGTGGCCATCTTAATGGCCTAAGCCCTCAGTGCTTAAAGTGATAGCTCTGTGGATGGAGTCTGTGGGCCTTGTGATTTCAGACTTAACGTGATCGTTTTTTTTTCTACAAATTTCAGACGGCTCTCTAAACTAAAAACCGTAGGGAATACGGTTTTTCTCGTTTTTATAACGCAGTTGAAATGGAGCTTGTTGGGATCAAACCTTGGAGATTTTGTGACGTTCGTGTTACAAGGAATGATCCCATTATTTTAAGGCATTTCAAATATTGATGATATTTAATGTCTGTGTATTGTGTAGGATCTTCTACCTAAAATGTGAATGAACTAATAAAAGCAATAGTCCATTATTTAGAAATTACCCCCAACATATACTTAAATGCTTCTGGGTTTTAAAACTTACAGAAGACTTGTTGAGCCAGAAAGACAAACATACCTGATTTTCTAAAACAGTTTTTCGTTTTTTTTTTTTTTTTTAATGGGACATTTTGGTTAAGGAACGGTTGAAAATTTGGTGGAAAAGCTAAAAGGTCAACAAATAACCTTTTCATATCAAGTTAGAGCTTTGGTAATAGAAATTCACTTCCAAAACTGTTTGTTCTACCCATGTGTACAGTTGCACCGATTTGTGGTTTATTCATGGAGCGAAGGACTGCTTCTCTCCCCAGACAAGAAATTTGGGAAAATTGGTGTAATAAACCTCCTGGTATTTATGCATAACTCTTACAAATATTGACAATTATCCTTTTCCCTTTAAGCTAGTATTCTGTCTTAGGTCTCTGTAGCCTTTTCTCTGATTTTTCCAATGTACTCTTTTGGTGTGTGTGTATATCTGCACATGTGTGCATGCCTGCCTACTTGCCTTATATTCCAGCACCATTTTGAAATGTCCATAGGCTGGAAGATACTTACTGTTACGTGTGTATTCAAATGTTGAGACCCATGAATCAGCCATTCATTGCTTAGGGAGGATTTGTGGGCTGAGTAAATGTCACTAGGTGTAGATGGTGTTCAGAGAACCGTTATTCTATTTTCTGGTGCCTCTGCTGAGTCCTCTTGCATGTTAAAATGCACTCACGTTAGGTATGTTTTATTGAGAGACCCTGCAGTTTGCACAATTCCAGAAGCCTTTCAGTTTTAACCACAAGGCAATGTCAATTTTTTTAGAGTCCAACTGAAGTGAGTTACAATCTTTGGTTTGTAATACCTAACAGCTGTTTGTAGTGTTCTTGAGATCAAAAACACTTTAACCGGAAGGCAGTCTCTCTTCGTCGCCCTAACCACACTTTTGCTCTCTTCCTCCTTCCTTCTGCCCCCAGTGGGATTGTTTGTGTCACTGACATCAGCAATGGTAGACTTTCTTAGAGGGTGTCAGGAGCTGGTGACCATTTGCATTTGGTCATTAGGGTTGGGGCTTCCCTGTGAGTTGGATTTGCATCACAAACAAATCCTAGTTTATTGCATCTGCTAGCCTGTGAGAACTGGAGAGGACCATCTGTGGGTGAGAGAGCCATCGACTGGACCCCTCTCCTTTCTGTGTCTAACTGCAGCCCTGAGAATTCCAGCTGTGGCCAAGTGGCACACACAGGGACGCCTCTTCTGAAATCTCATCATAACCATATGCGGTTGCTCCTGTTTTAAGCCGGGCCAGGCATCATGGTGCCTATTCAGGAGAACTGCCTTCACCCATCCAATTTTTCTCCTGCAAGGTCGTTTCAGTTGGGACCTCCTTCTGAGACTGCAACTTTAAAGGGAGTGTATCTACATCAGACATCTATGAATGAGTCTCTCCTGCAATTTTCGATGCAAAGTTTTAGTTCAGGTAAATTGAGCAATCAGGGAGAAGGCAGCCATGACAACTGCTTGGTGTCAGTGCGGGCTCCTCAAGCACAGGTGATGAGAAAATGTGCAAGCCTGTTAATATTTCAGAGGCAGGACCCCCAGAGAGTTTAGTAAAAGCATATTTCTTTCGCTGAAGCTTATTTTGTGAAAATAAGGCCAATGTTGAAATATTAAAGCAACAAGAAGAAACAGTTCTTAGTGTTCTAAGCTCGGTGGTAGAGCTGGGTGTCCAAGCCTAGTGTAGAGGGATCCTGAGCTGAGCTTCTTTAACATATGAAAGTTCCCTGTTGGGATAAGATTAGCCTGTGGCCATTCATCTTGAGAATCAAACTTCCATTTGTCCCCCCTGTAGCCCAAATGGTTAACACCTTTCCAGAGAAGCCTGCCATTTCTCTTCTGATGCCTGCGGAGGGAGTGGCACCAGAGAGCCAGGAAGCTGCTGCCCATAGCCCCTGAACACAGTAGCTCTGAATCCTGAGAACTTGGAACTTTGTGGTTCTTTGTGATCATCCTGAGAGACACAGGCAGGGAAAGAGAAGGTGTTTATTCTTTTCAGCTGCGTTTTTAACCTTATTCTTAACGTGGACTTCCCGCGGACATGTTATGACCATGCATGTTTAGTTATTTAGAATGGTTTGATTCGCCCCATTTCAGCTGCGTTTTTAACCTTATTCTTAACGTGGACTTCCTGCGGACATGTTATGACCATGCATGTTTAGTTATTTAGAATGGTTTGATTCTGTTGGATGACTCTTCCTTCGTCCACATTTGTCCTTCAGACCATTGTCTGTGTCTGTTCTATCTCCCACCCCTGATTTTGTATGGGTTTACAAACAACCAAGATTTGATTTTTGTCAGTGTTCACATATGGGACAAAGGACTTTAGGTGGATTTGGCTAACCTTGAAGCCCCTGAATGCTGCTATACTGATGTTGGATGGCTTTGAGACAAACAGGGAAGAGTGACTGTGGCTTGTGCCTCATTAGAAGCCTTTAAAGGAGGAGACTCCTTGTACTGCAAGGGGCTGCCTGATTGACTTCCTGATGAATTAATTTTAGTTTTCTGATTCCAGCCGTTTAATTTCTCTCAGCTAAGTAAGCTGGCTTTTCCCTCTTTACCCTCAAGCACAGGGTGTATTTTCAAAGTGAATTCTATGCAATATTCCTATGTGGCTGTCAGGAGAAGGTGTGGGAAAATTCCTCTTCAGAGTCTCTTGTTATTCTGTCTGATCCCTCCTCACTACACTGCTACCAAGTCGAGAAAGACTCATAATTGAGAAGAATTTGGAGCGATTACCTTTGTTCCCCCAGATAGCCCAGGTCTCTAATGATGTTGATTACTCTGGGATCCCAGGGAGCCATCCTGGAGCCCTTTAGTAGCCAACCCTGCATTTACAGTTTATGTCTTTTCAAATGACCCTGGGAGCTTTGTTTGTCTGTTTATTCAGAAAGTCATGAGAACAACCCAAGATATTGTAATTTCTCTAACACAAGATCACTAAATCAAAGTGGGAACAAATCATTTGTTGTTGTTGTTGTTGTTTGCTTGGTCTTGATTTTTTTGAGACACAGTGTTGCTACATAGGGCCTCGAACTCACAGAAATACAAGGGCTTCTGCTTCCCAAGTGCTGGGATTAAAGGCATAACAGGCAAGCTGAATCCTACTGTTTGAAACTGATCATACATCACAGGCCTGAATCCAGCTTTACTCTCCTCACCGTCTTTACTCCAGCCACACACTTTGGAATGACTAGCAGAGCTAGAGTTTCACAAGTAAGCCCACCTGGCCCACCATGGAGCCTCGCAAGCATGTCAGCTGTGGAGTTTTTAAAGGTGAATTTGTTAATTCTGGAGGCAGGCCCATTTGGATTTATGAGGTTAACATTTTTTTTTGAGCAATCAGAGCACTCCCATTTTTCCCCCCTGACTCCTTGGTTCTTCATTTACATATCATGGATAAGATGGGGATTTTATGGATCATTTTCCCTTTGATTTTGGAGAAAGGCTTGGAGTTTAAAAATAAAACATTCCAGTGTTGTCTGTGGCGGCAGAAAAAGCATGTGTGCATTATTTCCAGGTACAGGGAGCACTTGGCAGCTGCCATAGCACGGGCGTTGCT